GAAACGTTTGATTAAATTTTTTTTATTCGACGAGACGTTGCACGTCACACAGGTATTGCAAATTTCGATCACGTCAACCGTGCGATCTACCCCCATAAGATATTCAATTTCCAGCGATCGGATTTTCTCAGATGAACGTTGATCAAACTATTTCTGCGCCGGTCAATATCGCACACGATGGATTTTCCTATTTTCGTTTCACACTTTTGGGATATAATATTTTCTTGGGATATAAAAAAATGTAATATCTCTTTTGTTTTATTTCTTTTATGGTTTACATTCGAATTTTAATGTTATTGATTTAAGATATATTGAAGATATATGTTTTATTCTGAATGAGATGAGTGAATTTATGCAGCATTATATCAATCGGTTTTATCATAATTTTAATTTTAATAATATCATTTTAAAATTATAAAAATATATTTTATAAACTATAAATTTTTACAACTAGATTTAAATTCAGCATACGAAAATACACAAGATATCTTTCTATTCTCAAAACAATAAAACGTTTTTGTTTTATTGTTTGTTTTTTCCTATTTTATTTTTCATTCTTATTTTACGTGTTAACTTTGTAGATAAAAATAGTAACTACAGTTGATTTTTTTCTAGAGAAAATTTTATTAAATATTTATGAAACATTTTTAAAAGATCAAGATGCCAAAACAAATATAAAAAGTGTATAAAAATTAGTTGAAGCTTATTTAATAAGATACTTAATAAGTTATTTAATAAGAAATTCATGTTCGCATTAGATGAAACGAGACGGGAAGAAGTCTTATTTTATTTCGAATTTGCTTTGTCTAACGCAAAGTTCAATTATTTATAATTTGTTATAATTATTTATATTAAATTAATAATTTAATAAATAACCATAATCGAATAAGAATCTTAATTTTATTTTTGTTTGTTGAAACCAATTTTTGTTTTTATTTTTAGAATCGAGTTAAACATATCTTACAAATATTGTATATTATTAAAAAATGGAACAAATATTTTACATGAATATATATATACATATTACTGGCAGTGACACAATTCGAAAAATTTCAAATTTGCTTTTTAAATTAAATGCAAAGTCTACGTTATTTCTATTTTTACATAAATTTATCAATAATTAATTAATAATTATATAAATTTTAATAAATTTTTCTCTAAAATTTTGAGCCATTAATACAATTTAATACAATTAATATATATAAAATTTGAATATACTAGTCTCGAAAAACATTGAAATTATCTATAATATATATTGAAACTATAAAGTACGCTATCGTTTCGTCTAAGACTGTACATCAGAACTAGATTCTTCGTCGTAGCCGCTTAAACACGGAACCCCTTTTCCTAAATGGCTGTGCATAACAGCGTTCCGTGGGTAGAATGCATCCATCCAACCCCGGAAACCGTCCACTCCGCGGCCCGCGAGACATAATACCGTTTGATGACATCATTAAGCCGGGGCCGGGCTTATTGTTTCTCATAAAATCGTACGTGCAAACGCGCATCCTCTCTCCACCGTCTTGTCCGTACTGTTTGGACGACGATGACGTCGCTGGCCGAAGCGAAGGACACAGGCGTC